TATCGTCTCATTAAGAGCATGCATACATACAAGCACATGGGGGCCATACAAACAAATGGGAACTATTTTGAGTTGCTGCAATAAAATGTATTAACCTTCTGGAACATTTTTTTCCACTTTGATTTTTGGGGTGACTTTGAATTCAGTCCTTTGTAAGTTGATAATTTTAATTCCCATTAAACAATGTGGCACTCCTTTATTCCTGACACATTACTCAGTCCATATCAGTATAGGTATCCAGCATCTTATTTCCCATTGAGATCTGATGTCTTTTCAAAATGTTCCCTTAATTTTTTGAGTAGTGTAATATACAGTCATATTTTTAGGCTGTACATCTGATTTGGGGCAGACTAATGGAAGAAATATAAGTCTTCATTTTGTTAAAATTCAAGGGATGCTTTATAATGTACATAATATACACTCACGAGACACTTTATTTTGTCAGTCTTGCTAGTATCGGGTTGCATTTAGCAAGGTGCTGGAAATATTCCTCTGAGATTTTGGTCCATAGTGACATAATAGCATCACACAGTAACTGCAGATTTGTTGTCTACACACCCATGATTCCAGCACATCTGAAAGGTGCTCTATTGGATTGAGTTGTATTGGATTGTCATCTTGAAGAAACCTGTTTCTATATTTGTCAGCTGCATGGCCACGCTGCTAATCATGATGCACTCAATCCTGATGGCAGCAGGCATCAGAAGATGGTAAACTGTGGTCAATAAATCCTTTGACCCATAATCAATAGTCAAAGTTAATACTAAGGGGCTCAAAGTGTCACGGTAGAACTCTAGAGACATCAGCTGTACCTAATAAAGTGACTGGTAGTAGATTATCTGTCATTATCTATTAGAGTCACACTGTGCTGCCAAATCATTCATTTCTAAAAGTCTTGCATTAATTTTGCTTTGTCACTCATATGCTGCCTTGTAGCACAATACTCACACTAATGCACTCGGCCAGCGCGCTACAATGCTTGACTGACGGATGGAAAACTTTTCTTCTTTAAATATTAAAGCCTAAGAATACATGTAAAATTCATGCACAGCTGCCACACTGCAAATCGCTAAAAGATCAACCAATGAAGGAAAACTTGAGAGAACTGGATTTACTTCCAGCTGACAGATGGATTCAACAACACTTGAATGTTTAGGGTTGTCGACTGTCAAAACTTGAACAGCAAAAATAAAAAGGCAAAACACATCACACACTTTTGTTTATATATATAAATGTATTTATTTAAGTTAATCATTTCTCCTCATTCAAAGTTGAATTTCTGCATTATCTATAAAACAGGGAACAGTTAGAAGCGCTGTACAGTCTGACAACAAAACTAGGAACTGCAGCTGAGTACACTATGTACACACACTGATGTAGGTATATACAAAAATATACACTTTTACATGTGTGAACCCTCGGGTTGCATCAGCCACCTCGTAATGTGAATACCAGCCATTCAGAGCCACATGCCTCTCAGAAAACACATTAACCCACCAGCTCACACCCCACCCCATATCCCACCCATATTGATTACTGTTATTATCTGTCATTACCAGTTGATGAGACTTTTACAGTGTATTGTCTGCTGTGCATGATCTGCCCCTATTGTGCCCCGACTCATTTACATTGGCACAGCCGCTTGTAGAAGACGGAGAAGCTTAAGCAGTCCTGAGCTGGATGTCTCAGCAGGGCTTTTCACTTATTAGAGAGAGGGCCCTTCTTCTGTTAATCCTATGAGGGGATTTGAGGTGGGCCGATAGGGGGAAAACGTCCCAGGTTTTTGACAAGTCGTGACTGAACTTTTCTCCGTTTAAAGGAAAAGCTGAACGAACACAAAGATTTTGCTTCAAGCTTCCTTTTCTTGTTTAACTCTAGCAAATAACCCCTTGTTTCCCTCCACAGCGAAATAAATAATGTCTAGTGGCTCAGTGGGTAGGATGCTCTTATTTACTGACTCAAGCTCACGTTTTATGTTATTAAAGAAGACGACCATCTGCAGGATTGTCAGTAATATTCTTCTTACTCGATGTTTTCCCTTGTAAATTTATTTCAATAGGCATTTTTTGGTTTGTGCGTCATCATTTTGGCTCATACCTAAAATTATTTTTTATACGCACAAGATCACTTGGTCATAATTGGATCACAACCAAAACAAAATGTTCTGCATTATTGTGATGCAGCCTAGCACGCTTTAACTTTTGATTAAATGGCTCCAAACAGGTAAACGCACTACGAAAAGATGGAACCATGATATGATACTGGGGATGACTTTTGTTGAGCTATGTTTCAGAGTTGTTACTCCTCTAATGGATATTTTAAAGAATATTTTAAAGTTTTTAAGACATGGAAACACGCAAACGACCATTTTTAATCCCCTCTCTATCATAAAACTGACACAAGACCAGCAGATAACAGCAGTCCTGCCCACAGTGGCTTCTACAAGTTGAGACTGGAGGGAAGATACTCATTACACTGCAAGCAACCTGTCACGGAACAAGTCCTCCGAGACTGTTTTCCAAAGACTTTCACCCCTTCTTATTCTTCATCATACAGCAAATTCGGAAAAGGAAATTTGGCACGTTGTGCAAAAGATGTAAACATTTAACCATCCTTTTGAAATGAGGCGCTGCACTTAAGTGTTACAGTCATTTCTTCTGTGTGTAACATAAAAAAGATTAAGAAATAAAATAGCAAACCTTATGACAAGTATAAGACTAGCTTTAAAAAGAAAAGGCTTCAGACAACACAGGAACTGTTGCAGACAGGACTGACATGGTCACTCAGGTGAGCACAGTCGGCTTCTGCGGAGTAGCAAACTCACATGGAGATCTTATAAAGCAAAGACAGAAACTACCTCAAGTCCGTCTTCCTTTTTTTGTTTCGCAGCTGATCATGTGTGGCAATAGAGGGCGCTAAAAACTACTAAATAAAACCTCAGCATGTTGGAAACCTTCACTTATTCTATGCTGACTGAGATATCACCACTACTCAAGAGGCTGCACAATTTCTGCAATAATCTAGACGATAAGGCGATGAAAAAGTAAACGAACTAACTACTAAAATGTGTACTTGCACACATCTAAACCGAGACAGATTTTGCATGTATCCTATGACAGATCTTCCCATTTACACCCTTTGAGAATCAGCTAAAAAAAAAAAAAAAAAAAAAAAAAAACTTCAATGGTGCCCTTTCAAGAATACATCTAAATTAAACATTTTTATATTTTTCTACTTTTAATAAGATTATTTCTCCTGTAACCTGCCTTTAAAATCTCCACTGAAGCGTCTGATTTCACAGCACACACTGAAATAGAAAACTGATGTTCAAACCTAAATTTCACTTAATGCTTCTCCTGTATTGCAACCATGCTTACTTAAGACACTGAAAGTGTTTCATTTTGTTTTGCATTTTCCAAACCAAACCAGACTTTTCCATGTTTAAAGTAACACATCATCATGAAATCAGATTTGGGCCTTTGGATTTAGCATCAAAGGCAACACCAAATTTTTCTAAGCAGGGCCTTGCCTGAGTTTCTCTCTGGCCTCGTGCCATGTTGTGGGTCCCCTGCCCTGCAGCACAATGCAGCAACCTGTCAAGTCACAGGATAGGCTTTTCAAACCAGCTGCAGCTTCAGCTGACCTTCTCAGCTCCACTCACCCCACTTATAAATGAACATATAAGACAAGGCAAACAGATACACAGAAAAAAAAGTATCAGACAGCAAAGCAACCGAGGCCAGCTGTCTTTGTCAGTTGGCGGCTCAATAAAATAAAACCAAAGGAGTTTCGGATGTGAGTGTGCACGAGAGCGGGAAGGACTGAGAAAAGCAGAGAGCGCACGACTTTAAAGATGACTTGAGATTTCAGCTTTCCTGTACCCAAACTGTACATCTGTTCAGAAATATTTTGTGTTCCTGTAGTTGCCTTGAGGTCGCCAAGTGATGAGTCACACTAAATTTAATCAAGCGCAATTTTCCCAAACTCCACTGTCATTACTCATCGGTGACTAACAGCACAGGAGATCATAGCAGTGAAGATGAGGAAGTGATGTGAAAGCCTAAAGGACATTAGAAACAAAACATAACAAACAAACTATTTAAAAGGCAAGAGTTAATGGACTCGGAAACAGATAAATGTACTGCAAATCGTATCAGTAACACCACCTGGTAACAAAAACTGCACCGTTTCATGACACCAAGATATTGTTGATCTGCATAGTAGTGTGGCAGGAAAAAAAAAGAAAGAAAGAGTATTCTTATTTCTACTTTGCATCAGCAAAAGCTGCGCAGTCCTGCTTGTGCAATCAGAAAAATCTGCTCTCCTCTTGCAGAAACAGAGTGAGGACAAACAGTAAAACCTTGTTTACTGCAGTTCCAAACTTCAGAACAGATGGCTCATCTAACAGGAAAGTTAGAGGAAAAAAAATATGTTGATGTAAATCACTGTGACTCAGTGCAACGCTGGAAACATGTCGGCGATACATGCAGTCAGAAGTTGCTTCGCTACTTGTCGAGACTTTTCTTTTTGCATGAAATCTGCTCTCAGGCTGGAATAAGCACAGTTTGCCGTTGTCAATAGAGAGACGGACGTCTGACACCTCGATGAATTAAAAAAACCCAAACAAACCCCACTTTACTTTGCTGCAGGGTTGCATTGTTCCTCCTGCAAGGTCTAAGTGTAGTTTTCTTCTTTAACTTTGTAAAAGTGCTGGAAGAGGAGAAGCAATCATCTCAGTCACATCTATGCAAACTCTACATTACTGGTAATCTCATTACTGTGTTATTAGAAATGCCACATTAGCAGGCAACACCTGTTGGCTCTGGAGAACAAGCTGCAACATGAATCCAGTTTAGATGTGATTGTTAGACAGTAAACGTTCCACAATGGCAACATATAGACACAGGCAAAGGAAAGCAGCTGTGCAGGAAAAACAAAGAAAAAAAAAAAGATTAAAACTGAGCCTCTCCACGGGGAGCAGGCACAGAGCAGCGAGAGTATGTAAAGAAAACCATTTTAATCACTGGTCTTTCTGAAACTCAAAACATCCTTTTAAAAGTTGGTTCCATTTTTTGATTAGAAAGTAAACCAAAATAAAAGAAAAAGGAAAAAAAAGAGAGACTGGTGACTTATTCTCTGGGTATTTTCTCTGTGAAAGTATTGGAGGCTGCAGCAGCCAGTACTACAGCCCAAAGACAGGAAAATCTTCAGGGAGGCATTCACAACACTTCTGAGGGGGGAAAAAAACCCCATGCAAAGCAGCGAAAACCCTCCCAGATTGTCTTCACCTCCACCAAGAAAGAGTCTGTAGAAAAACTGCATTCTTTGCCTCTTTTCTCTCAGTTGACTCTGTAAACCAGTGAGAATAAACGAGAGGAAAAGCTCAAGGCCTCGAGTCCATTTCCTCCCTTCACATCACTCAACAACCCACACCTCCCCGAAACCACAACCTGAAGGCTCCATCTGCCATTACAGGATGCTTCCAAGAAGAAGAAGAAGGAAAAAAAGCAAGTCTCTGTGGACAGTTAACAGCAAGAAATAAAAAAATATGAATAAGAAAATAAAACAAGTACACCAAAAAATTCTCTTTCCACCAGCATTAAAGAAAGGAGAAGAACAATTTCGCCGTTTGCAGCTGGAACCATCAATGAGAAAACACTGAGGTATGTATTTTTGAAACAAAAGCCTCTTCGTCTCCTTTATCCTCGTGATCGCCACCATCCATCCACCACATGCAGTCAGGTTCCTGTTAACTCCATTTGGGTCTCCCGGCCCCTCCCTTCATTACGCGTGGCTCATCGTTTAGGGAGATGGGTGAGAGAAGGGTGCGCACGTGACTGGCTGTACCTCTGTGGAGGAGGAAGGAGGAGAAGGAGGAAGAGTTTGTCTTTCTTCTTGAGTCTATTCATCTTTTTAGCCGCATCTCAGGAGTCTGTAGGTGTTTCTCTTCGCTATACCGAGTCTTCCGGGGATCTGGAGCGCCCCCTACGATTGTAAATTGAGAGTGAACTTCCACTGCTGGGTGAGGCTCGGGCTGCAGACCTCCACAGTGAGTCCGCCCATCCTGGCGCTGCGGCTGTCCAGGCAGAGGTTACTGCCCACGTGACGAAGCTTCGAGTTGGACTCGATCTGCTCCCATTTCTGGACGACAAACAACACAATGTCACAAATATTGAACGCTGTACCTTTTTTGGGGTATAAACAACAATAAAGGCGATTTCAGTGTGTGTTTACCTGTCTGCTGTCATTCTCTCTACAGCCTTGTAGTTTGATGAGGGAACCAGCTGTTCTGTCCACCACAGTCAGACACAGGTCCATATGTTTTACCGATTTATCCTTGGTTAGAGCCCATTCCTTTATAAAAATGGATACACGTAAAATATTAGTACACGTAAAGCATGCTGGGATGTTCTCAGCAAGGCTTTATCTAATAACACGTCTTTTATATCAAGTAATGATCATGTTTTCCTCTTATTTACACAGGAAAAATAACAAAAATGTATTTTGCAAAATGGGCACCATGGGCAGCATCGTGATAGAGAGAATCTGGAGCTCCCTGTGGAAATCTCACAATCAGGACTCTGATTGCTCTGAGAACACAGTGCCCATGTTAAAGCCACATTAAGGCCATTAAATAAACCCAGCAGGTAAAGCTTGGTGGCTGAGAAAATCTCTGTATATTTTAAATCAATTTTAGAAAGTATACAAACCCATAATAATAACAACAATAATAATTGGCCGTTAGTTTAGTAAAGAGACTGCCTGGTATGAGTGTGAATAAAATGGAGACATTATTTGTGGTACTTCACTTCTGTTGTGTCTCTTTGAGAATGGCTAGAATGGATTGAATAACATCACAGCGAATGACTTGTTTGCAGTTTTCATTATGTGGGATTAAAAATCAATAACCAAGTTTTTCAGTTTTCCACTTCCGCTTGGTGATAAAATTGCATTTTAAAATTCTCCCCAGTCTCTCATACCCCCCAAAATCCAAGGTTGTTCATTTTGCCCTCCCAGCACCGCAGCTGTTACTGACTACATTCACAATTTTGTTTGTTTTTTGCCCCTGGTAGAAATAAAAAAAAATAAATTCATTCATTCATTTACTATTCATTTTAAAAAATGAATAGTAAAAACAAAGTACACCCTCTTCCAATTCTAACGTTTTTCATATAAGAGGATAATAAAGCACCATGTTTGCTTTTTGCCAAATGTGGCCCTGTGAATTACAGCAAAGCGTCTCCTCTTCTGTCTCGTCTTCTAAAGGATGTTGCACAACCATTAATATTTCACGGTTTGACCTTGGGAATACTGGTACATGTCCTGAACATTTTCCACTTGTGAGCAGATATGTTTCTTAGCTGTATTTGCTGTATTTATGAAGCAACACTGGAAACAGTAAAGACCTGCAAATCCACGAGGGTAAAACAAGACACGTAAATCCAAAAAAAGCCAGCGATCGCTGACTCGAAGCGACAGCAGTTTTCTTCTCTACACCTGTCATTCTATTTCAGGATTTCAACTATTTGAGAAACTGCTGACAGAAACACTCCCCACAAACTTACACACACAGACATAGTGTGTATCCTCCTCAAGGTACTCCAAGAGCTGTACATTTCCTCTAAGAACAATGTTAAAATGCTGTTATGCACTACTCTATATTTAAGTTAAAGTTTCAATAGATCTGCTCTACTCTTGTCTTAACAACCTCGTGTTTAAACATCTTTGTCCTTTTGATTACAATACATTTACTTTAAGTATGGCACTGTGACCTTAAATACGTAAATCCTTTATCATACCCCCTGTGCTTTCACCATATGTACACCACTTGCCACTCACGAGTCTCTAAGGTTAGGATTTTACAAGCTGACCTGGGTGTCCCCTCGCCGTAACACTACCTGGTTTCCCCCTGCATTGTGACATTCATAGACGCCGACCACACCATCAGCAAAGTGACCCAAGGTGTCCAGACAGTTTCCTCCCTGCTGCAGGGCTCCGAAAGCAATGTCCTGGTGATCTGGGACCCTGAACACACACACGAAAAAGTGTTAGTGAAGCGTGTATTCAGTTTTTCAAGCTGTTAAAAAGCCAAACAAAGAAAGCGTACAGGCCGAGATACAGCAAGAGAGGAAAATAGTCAATTTTCTTCTGACAAAACAGGACAATGGGGCTTTAATGTTTCTGTAAAAGTTAAATTATTCAAATTAGAAGCATTAAAAAGGTGCAATTTTAATGTTCTTCCCCCTGTGAAAACATAAAAGCAAGAAGTATGCCTGAGATTTAATGTGGTTTTTATGCTTTTAAAGATTGTTTCACTGTGCAGTGATACACCATGCCCCAGGCTCATGCTAAATTTGAATACGCTCTCTGAAAGTCCCACTCTGACCAGTTGCACATGTGCATTTCACAGATATGCAGAAAGCCCATGAACCTATCAGCAGTAGTTCTACTTTATTATCCTGAGACATGTGATGGAGAAGATTTGGTCCAAACAACCTGAACTGTTCCAGTGTGCGATGGTGATTCTGGTGTGTTAAAAATAAGGGTTTTTTTGGTAATCCTCAAAAAAATCTTTGTTTCTCACCAACGCTGCTCAACAGATTTAGATGTAAGCAACTTTGTACTTACTTAAAAGTACATTCAAGCTCAAGGTTTGCCTATCTGACAACCTGGAAGAGTACCAGAGTCTGTGACAGCGGTCATAACTTGACCTTCAGGCAAAATGTAGCAAAAACGCTGGGAGTGGTGCAATCTAGCAGTCAGATTTAAATCAGAGGTGCTCTCTGCTGAACTTGTGGACTCATTCACATCAGCCACTAATTGCGAACCTGAGAACCTTGTGAAAATGTAATAATGACCTTGAATCATAACTCCTGGTTGGGCATTAGCGTCACTGCAGTCTCATTTGTGTATAAAACATCCCGCCACACATTAGCACAAAGTCATATTTCAAACTTCTGGCTGAGGAGTGGTCTCCTAACAATTTGGTAAATGCAATTTAGTTTTGATTATACAACATTACATGTCATGCAGTGTAACACTGGCTCCATCATATTGCACAGACTGCCCTCATTTTCTTACCTCAGCTCAGGGTAGACATTCTCCAGGTACCATTTGAATGGCTTACAGTTTAATCTCTTCTTCATCTCCAAACGACTCTGGATACTGAGGGAGAGGAAGGAGATGGAGGAAGAGAATTAAAGGGTTGAATCAGCTGTGGTTTCATGTTTAAATTATACGCCTCGTCAGTCGCTTTGTAAGGGGAGAGAGTGGAGGCTCGGGGCATGTCTGAGTCTAGATCCTTTGGGGAAAATATAACTGTTTGGACTGACACTAGAGGGGAGATGCCAAGTCTGTTCCCACAAGGTCACATAATAAGCATATATAGTGCTGTCTAGCTACTCTGGTTGAATGCGAAAGTGCTTATTGCTGTGTAGACTTCTGGATGTGTGGCATAAAGCAGAAGGAAACTAGTATAAGGGTGAAAAGCATTCCTTAACACACTTACAGTACTTACTTTGTCCTGCTGGTGGCATAAAACTAAGAGGATCACAAAGTCAGCAGGTGTCACCCCCTAAAGAACATGAATGTCAATCCATTCAGCAGCTGTAGGTATTTTTTTTTAATGGCGGATGACTGACGCTGTCACTACGCTTGAAACAATCCTGCGCCAACCTTTTTAAGGAGCGTTGTCATCCCTTTAGGGCATAAATAACAGCAGCGTTTCCGGTATTGTAAATCAGCCACTGACTTTTTGTCCTCTTCTGAGCTACATTAACATCCTCACTTAAGTATAAAAGGGAAAAATTACACCTTTTATGGCTTACATTCTGCTAATTGGCAGTACAATTATAATTATTATGTCCATTCAAGTGGCTGCCTTTGTAATTTTATGATCCAGCTCCATTATTATGTTCAACTCCCACAGGGCTAATACTTCATAGTACTTACTTCCCATAGGGGACATTTCTTGCTGAGGGGACAGCGGCATAGTAGAAGTTTTTATACTCGTCCATCCACACCTCTGCTGCTCTCCTTGTGTTCCTGATGGATGGGTGAGAAGAAGAAAATGCACAAAGGCGAGGGAGACAATGGGTGAGGATAAGACCGAGAGTCGGTGAGGATTTAAAAAAAAAAAAAAAAAGACAGAAAGGTATGTGGCACACTGCACGACTCCTGAATGGACGTGTCTGTTTGGTGGTTGTGACACACTCACTGCCTGCTCATACACCCCCCGACAGCCATCAGAGGGCACAGTTATCCTGGCTGTACAAATGTGAATGTGTGTTTATTTTCCCTGTTATTGCAGCCGTTGGTCAACAGCGTGTGCATGCTGCCAAACAAAGTGTTGACGTGTGACATTTGACAATTTGTCAGATTTTTATTTTTCGAGTGATGTAACGGACTTCTGACAGACTACGTGTCGGCTGGAGTCAATAAAATACAACTCAATCTTTGCAGTCCAGAGCAGCTCAAAGTATGACACTAACAGTCCTTCCTTAGACCGAATCAAGACAAGAGAAAGAGTGCAATGATGATTATAGCAACGGGGGGTAACACTGAGACCTTAGTAGCTTCTGTTGCTCTCCCAGTTTGCAAACCTCAGTACTGGAACCAGTTTATATCGGCCTCACTGTTTATGGATTGCACAAACACTATTTTTGCAATCCAGTTTCTTAGGAACAGATATGCTCCTCTGGTTCATGCAGTGTCTCATAAAGTAGGATAACATAGTGAGAAAGTTAAACAAGCACTCCAATTACTATTTTTGTGAATTTTCAGGCAGTTATTTCACAGTTCAGACTTAAAAATAGGGTTAAAACTGCTAGCAGGGTTAATTATAACCAATAACTGCAGTACAATCAGCTTCATTATGTTTACCTGTGAATCCCTAAAGTGTAAATGCTTTGACCAAATTATAGAGAAACTAAGTGCCTCTTTATGTGATGTCAAAAGCAAAAGTTATGACGCGCTTGCCGGAAGCCTTTCATATTCTGCAGAAATTCTCTATAACCCATGAGTTGCGCAGTTTTAAATAGCGAGCAGTGGTTTTGTCTTAGTGAGGCTCACATATTTCTAGACATTTCCAAACTCGGCTTCCACTTACTGGAAGAGAAGCTTCAAGAAAACAACTCTTCTAACATCTGAAGGTTACCAGCGACCGTGGTGACACTAGATGCCCTATCATTATTACGGTATTTTAAGGGTTTATTTTGATGTGCAGTCTCTTTGTCTTGCAGGATTTTTTTACTCTCATGCACCTGCATCCCAAAAATACAGACACCACACACTGCAAACTTTATTTAGGTCCACAGGGGCTTTTTGTCACATAGCAAGCTGCTGCTGCCACAACACGCCTATTATAACTCTGCTGTGAAATGCTGCTCCCTGAAGAACAATTACAATGTCATCCAGGCAGACAAAACAGGTGCCGTCTCCGAGGTCCCCAGAGTCACTGCAGCAGCCACAGGGATGCTGTCTGGGACTTGATTCAGGCTGAAGGGCAAGGCGCTGCCTCAGAGCACAGATGAAGCTGCTCTGCTCTGTAATAGAGAACTCCACTGCACCCACTGATTAATAAGTGATGTCTTCGATTGTTAGGAATGGTTGTGCAACTAATATGAGACTGTGTTCAGTGTTATGAAACTGATGAAAACATTAGCAGTCCACCGGTGGTGTCTAATCTTTGACACTGTTTGAATAAATGTTGGTTTAATGTTGAATTTCATCCACAGTTTTTTCCCCTCTAAGGGTTCTACCGAGCTATGAATTAAATCTCTTCAGGTATTTGTATGTAACTAACTGATAAGAAATGAGGGGCTGAAGTCAACTAATAGCCCCGACTCAAAAATAGGAGCTACTGCAGAATAGGCACCACATGTCACCCTGACATGCTCTTTATTTCTTGCTCCCCTTTAAAAATATTAATCACAGCCAATATCAGAGTAACCACAGTCATTTCAAGCTCCTTGTTATCTGTTTGTTTATCCTCCCACATGTTTACCAATCGAGAGACTGAAGGTTTGTTGGGCTCATTACCAAAGGTGGTTACTCATGGTTTCAAGAGACAGATCCATATCTGCCCATGTATCACATTCTCCACTACTCGTGTTCAATGTTTATGGTGCCGCATATATCTCAGCTCTAAAGGGCAGCACATGGAAAAAACAGATTTTCTTCACTTTTAGTTTTTATTTTTTTTTATTTTTGAAGGAAATATTCATGAACTTGTTTAATTGATGGTACTTTGTTTTAATTACTCAACACTGATTTAATTCTCAGAGCATTAGTAAAACTCACAAACTTACAAACCGCAGCCACAGAAAATAATGAACCGAAAGAGACTACTATACACATGATCTGTGCTCATTTCCAGCTCCATAGTTTTACTCCAGGACTCAGGGGAGTAATTCACACAACTCACAAAGAGAAGTCTCTTTTATCCTACACACTCGGTCTTGGTGCAGCCCCTCAGGTCACCTGCTGTCTGAATTAAGCCTTTTTATCTCTATTCCTCTTTGTTTAAGGGTCTAAGCTGCAGGTGGGTGGAGCTGTTGTGCTCAAAGGCAGAGATGAGCATAGCACCGATATGCCCTCTCTTTGTTATCACAGAGAGCCAAGATTAGAAAAAACTGTCTGAAAAGGCAGAGATGAGAGCAAACGGACATCTGAGCTTTGGCTTGCAGAGACTATTTGACGGTACCCTAACCTTATAAATATGAGGAGCTAACATTATAACTGTATATTAGGCTATAATATATATTAGTATATTGCTTTTAAGCAAATAAGTACATTACTGAAATTCAAAGTGCTTTAAAAAGAAAATCCAGTATAAATATTGAAAAACCATCATCAAAATGGAAAGGAAGAGCGCTTAAACTGCTTCTATGGTAAAAAGTATCATAAAATGACAAGGTTTTTCTGAGACTGCTAGGTCACTTAAACATCAGCTGATTGACTGTATTAGCTGTCAGTGAACCGCAGATTTAAAACAAACAAACAAAAAAGTCTTCCTAACCCTGTTAAAGTTGGAACACGCTCAGCTAGTCCTTTTCTGTGCGGTTGTTCTGCTGCACAGAAAAGTGTAAATCAAAAATCTTCAGTTTCAAGCTAAACAGCAAACTCATCTGCTGATGAAAATCACGTGACAAGACAAAAAGGCCCCGGAGGATCCAGTAAATGAACCTTGTGGTGGGAATGTTTTCTCAAAGGCTGTTTCCACATTAAATTTAGTGAGTGAAATTTGAACCTCAGGATAAACATCCTCAGTATTTGGTCTTGAAATGTCACTACAGTTGAGTCAAACTGTCTCCAAACTTTAACTGACTCTTAGAAATGAAGAGTGGGTTGTGTTAGAGCAGGTCACCATTTGACAGAAAGGTCAGGGGTTCAATCATCGTCTTCTCCGGTCTGCATGTTTTAAGTGCCCTTGGGCAAAATTCTGTAAACATAATTGCTCCCTATGCATGTGCGTGATCAATAAAAGCAATATGGCTTGTACTGTAAAAGTGCTTTGAGTGGTCATTAAGACTAGAAAAGCATTATATATAAAGGACAGTCCATTTAGCCTCCACATTTCTTGTGATTTACAGTGAAACTACTTAAATAGAGATTTTCCCTCCCATATTTTATGTAAGGAGAAAACAAGTTTTTTTATATATGCTCAGCAGCAATAATAATAAATAAATAGAATGAATTCAAGTACTGCTATTATCCAAAGCTCTTTGCATTTGATTACCCATTCACATACTGATGATATGGAAGGCTGGGCCTAACCTCAGAATGCATTTGGGCTTTGGTGTGTTTTTGGATATGACAAATAGAGAACTGTGTGGCTTCACCTTCTGAGCTAAAGTCACCAAATAAACCCAAATGCATTAACTGTAGTGTCATTATGGAGATGCACAGGCTGCAACATGGGGAATTTTGATGAACTATGTGATGCGTGTAACCTGACTGGTTAAATGAGTGTTCGGTCCTCTTGTATGTGTGTGTCTGCATGTGTGTCACCTTGCAAACACAGTGCCACTGCCACCCGGGAAGGTATAAGGATGCTGCTTTCTGAAGACGTGGCCAACTCTGCTGCAGGGGATGATCTCCAGACTGCCGCCACATTGCCACACACGAAATGAGATCTCTAAAAACACAGACAGACACGCAGGCGGAAAAAATGAATAAAAACAGGTAAGTTAATTACTACAAGCCAAGAAAAAGTAGTTAAGTTAATCCACATCTGCATATCATGAATGTTTGGAGTGTGTTGACATTGTTAGATTTGCTCTCCAGCATTTGAATGAGCGTTCTTTAAATGAGCACAGCAATGTCTGAACTGTCAATCCAGTTCTGATTCATTGGACCGCCTCGAGAGGAGCCTGAATCACTCCGTCAGCTGTTTATTCTTAACCGATTTCCCAAGTGCATTCAGACAAAAGCAAAAGGGAGACACAGCTGCTATTATATCATTGTACTGTTTGCAAATGAGCTCTATTGTGCACACTCTGCACTGACTCTAAACATTATTACACTGCCACTGTAATTTCCTAAGATCAACTGTACTAAGGAAGACATCTTTTACCTAGATATGACAACCAAATTACTGAAGGATTTTCTATTATCTCGTTGTTGGCATGGGCACCCAGATGATCTCATGAGTTGATCACAGTGTGAGGCAAATCCACGTTGCTGCTTTAGCACCAGATCTCACAGGGGAGTGGAGATTTTATAACTGGGCAGGAATTTGTGGTTTTCTGAGCCAAAAGTGCAGCATTTATGAGGGAAAGAGATTACAGTTGCAAGCTCATTTAAGTCTTAAAGATATAGTTCAACATTTTGGAGAGACATGTATTAGGTTTTCTGCAGAGAATGAGATCAGAGGTTTGATACAATTATCACAGTTACATGTCAAGTATAACGATGCAGCCAGTAATCACGTAGCTTATCATTGAGAGTACAAACAACAGGAAACAGCAAACCCAGCTCTATCCAAAGCTCACAAAATCCTCCATTGTTTGTTTAGCCAAATCACTGTCCGGCATATAAGGATGTGCAAACATAACGTCAACAAAACAGCAAAAAAATTGACTGCCTGTTGGATGCATAGAATCAGCAGACTCAGTAAACCGGTTCTTGATGTGTTTATGGCTTCAATTACTAATTTCAAGTCTTTTTAAACATAAAATTACAAAAACAAAAAGTAAATAAATCAGGCTATGTTTTAGTGCAAGGTTATTTCGTTATTTAAAGTCGCTACTGAATGATCAGATGACAGCAGCAAAATGCTTGGCTTGAGCTTTAAAAGAAAAAGAAAAAGGGACTTCAATTTATTTGTCATCACTGAGTTTCATTGAGAAATATAGCTGGGTGTCATCTGCATAGAAATGAAAGTATATGGAGGGCAGTTCTAATAATATTACCTAAGGGAAGCATGTATACGGTAAAAAGGACCGGCCCCAACACGGAACCCTGTGGAACACCGTGGCTAACTTTAATGTGTAAAGAAGACAAAAACATTTAAATGCACAAATTTGGTTTGATATGATTCAAACCAATGCAGCACATGCCCTTGAATGCAAACAGACTGCTCTAGTCTCTGTATTAAAAGTTTATAACATTTTATACATTTATCATTTCATAATGATATAACATCATTATACTCAATGGACATATAGGACTGTGCTATTAAACCTGCTCAAAGAAAGTGAATGAGTGTATTTTCCAAAACACTCATTAAAACCTTAAAAGCCTGGAGACAAAACGGGAAACCCAGGACATGCCTGCGACTTCACTTGACTTTCCACTTTTAATACCTGTGTTTTATGCAATTTTTGATTCTTTCACTAATCAAGACTTTCTATTCTTGCGACATCCATTAGACACCTTCTTCAGTCTACCATGAGCTTCTAAATTGCACCACTCACCGAGATTTTCCCCTCCCCATACATCCATCATCATGTCATACTTTCCCAGCTGCTCAAAGTACTCTTTATCCATGACAAAGAGGCCACCTGCTATCATTGGTGTCCTGGAGGGGCAGAAAAAAACCAAAAAAATACAAGAAACAAGAAAATTGAGAAGGCATTGGTAAAAATTGAGTAGATTAATACTCTGTTAGTTGCATATGATACAACCTGTAACTTTTGAAAGTGTGTTTGTCTTACTTTATAGGAGCGATCGGGTTGCCTTGTCTGGCTCGTCTCTGCTCCAGAGTCATGTAGTCCCATTTAAACACCAAATTCCAGTCAAAGCCTGCCAACATAAACACACAGACAAAAAAACACTGCACAATTACGACCATTAGCTGGGATTAAGTAGCAGTCTGGTTGTATAATTGGATTTGGCAGGTTCATATTAGATGACTGGGTAAATCAGCAGTTGCCTGACTTCAAAGGCAACTGCTGTAACTGTTTAAGTGTTAGCAGAGAGAGTTAAACTAGTGTAACTGGCATGTATCTGTTCTACAATACACTGCAATCAGCACAGCCAGTACACCACTTTGGCTTTTACATTAATATCCCTCACAGACCCACACAAAAAAGAGAAATGTTGCAATGCAAGTGCCAACACTTGCTAATCCAGCCAAATTAAGAATGCGACTGCACGGCAGTTTCACATTCAGAACATTAAATTTTTTATTATGTGAAGTCGTTAATTAATTATTAATATAAAAAAGAGTGGGGGGTTTTTAAGCTATGAGTAGTTCTTCCATTTCCAGTGTGCATTGCACCGTATGTAAGCTATATCCATCAGCATCACAGTGGACAAAAAAAGGATATTTAATGCGTAAAATTACATATATGACACCAATTATTTAATTAACTTGAATTCATTAATGTCCTTTCTGGATATCATCTACTGGAGTTATACTCAAGAAGGCACATGCCCAAATCAGTTGGATTGGACATTAAACTGTCTTTAACCCACCAGCTCTCCAGTACAAAGTAGGCGTGATGTTCCATTCAGCCTATGTCAGAATAAAAGAAGGAACTGTCTAAAAGATTTATGATGAACAAGTGGGGGATCATGTGTGCTGCCTCATGAGATAATAAGATAATATCTGCAATACTTTGAAGAGGAGGCACTGTTCAGTGAACATTTCCTGGTGAGAAACAGTTTGAAATATACCATGTTCCTCAGGAGGCCTCGCCTTAAGTATGAGAAATACCTGGAGAGAACAGTTTATGAACTACAGCACTGGATGGCAAAACACCTGGTCTTAATGCGGCTGTGAGATAACAACGTCAATTCATTGTAAATGAAAAGCATTAAAAAGCAAATCCTCTAAAACCGTAATAAATGCAAAGCCTCGCTGTCAAGCTCGACTGACTAGACTACACAGGAGTCGAGTGTGTCTTTTGTGTACTTTACCTCCTTTCAGATCGGCAGAGGCGCCGACATATTGAAAGTTGTCCATGTTGATGACATCAATGATGGGAGAAACTACTCGTGTCTTATCCTGAGAAGGAAACACGGAGACAGTAATTAAACAAAGCCACTTCAAGGACGGATGCAGGTTTGGAATATCATCAATAAATATTTACTACAAGTTAATTAAAAAGGACAAAATTATGCAGAACTACAAAGGACTCAGAGCACTTAACTGTGTTTGCGAAATTTTAGAGCGTAAGTAAATATTCCCATCTGCAAGCTTATTTTATGTTCTATATTTAGTTTACTGCCACGTTTATGACGTAAAACTGAACGTTAATCAGCCATTTCCTACCAACACCAAAACAAACCCAAGCTTTAAAAATCACAGAGCCACATCACCCGGCAGTTCGAAGAAAGGATTACTCAAGCGGCCCGAATGACGAAAACAGAAACAGCTTGCAGATATTGGGGAGTTCATTTGTTTGAGCCTGAGACATTTTTATAAGACAAGGTTTCACAGTGTATGGTGGGATTCATTATTTAGAGAAGCAGCTAAAGCAAAAGAAAAACAAAGTGAATTACTCTGACAGCGCAGCGTTTCAGACTTGGCTCCAGGCATTTATTAACGAGGGAACAACAAAACAGCACATTCGGGAGGATCAAATGCAGAATCAGACTGTTTTAAGTCAACTCAGATACATTTTTAAAGAACAACAGTGTCCCATTTCAGATTAAGATTACAGTCAATCATGAAGCTCCTTTTTGAAGTCTTTATTTTAAAAAAAGGCTTCGCTCTAAATATCACCAGACTGTATCTGTAAGAGAGCTCGGTTTGCGTTTATAAAGTTTTTCCTTTAATGGAAATAAAAATCAAATTGCCAGCCCCAAAAGATAAAAGATCTTGTCACCCATCAAGATCTGCATGTCTCACACTGTCAGGTTTAGCTGTGATAATGGGCTTTTATAATGAAAACAGGCCCAACATTCCTGTGTGAATGAAATGTAGTCATGCGCTCCTTGTTTCTCACATGAATGTTAACAAGACACTGACTGATTATAAGCTCAGAGGTGCTGCTTTGTAGCCAACCCCAGCCTCCGTGTAAAGGATTAGATGGAAAAAAAACATGAATTGCATCAATTTTATGCGTATTTTACTGGGATACACTGGTCAGGGAAATTATCAGGTCAACCTTGCTATTTTGCGAATGGATCCACTTTTGTCTCCAGAGCTGCTTTAATTTCTCGTGGCACAGATTCGACAGGGTGCTGGACATTGCTCAAAGATTTTATTCCACACTGACATGACAGCATCACAGTTTTTCAACTGCATTTCCATGATGGGAATCTCCACTGTTAGGTTTTGTATTGTTGATTGTCATTTATGCTTAGAAATATTTAACCATATATGCTTAGAGGTGTATAATCAATTGTGTAGTGATAGGATGTGTGATCTTTAGCAGGCTACAAAGGCTTGGTGTGGAATGCACACCTACATCCTGGGAGTATGGGAAGAGGTCGTACCTTGTCTTATTGTGTTATGGTAGGATTAACGTAGCTATATCTGTCTTAGTCTAAGTGCCTTTTGGTTTGATGAACTGTTGGATTTCCAGACCAGCAGGTTTAGGGAAGTTATTTATGGGGTCACACTCTGACCACACACACACACACACACACACACACACACACACACACACACACACACACACACACACACACACACACGCAAGGTACTCTTTGTGTGTATGTAGACGTCATATGTTAATGAACCTATGCATATTCATGTAACCTCAATAAAAGAGCAGTGTTACGGGAGAACGGACGAGAGCAACTGGGGTCAGGCGAAGGAACGGCGTTTGTCCGGTTCTCTCCCGTGCACGAGAAACATGAAGAACTTTGCCTACTTCGTGTCTTGCTTGCTGTGTAATTATATTGCCTTCAACGTTCCAGCGAATAGGTTCAAGCTACAAACCTATCATCCACAATATATCCTAAAGTTGCTCTATTTGAATAAAAATCTGGGGATTGTTGAGGCCCACTGAGAACTTGTGAACTGTGGTCATAAGGGGTCAGCACCAATACTTAGACAAGCCATGGTGTCCAAACAATGCTCAGTTGGTAGTAAAAGGTCCAAAACTCTGCCATTACACTACCACCAGCCTAAACTGTTGATACAAGGCAGAATGGATCCATCCTTTGACCAGATTTTGACTCCAACATCTGAATGTTGCAACATTTTTCCAATCTTCTATTTTCCAATTTTAGTGAGCCCGTCTGAACTGTAGCCTCAGTTTCCTGCTCTCAGCTGACAGGAGTGGCACCCAGTGCGGTCTTTTGCTTGGTGTAGCCCATCTGCTTCAAGGCAAATGTGTTGTTCAGAGATGCTTTTTTGCATATCTTGGTTGTTACAAGCGGTTATTTGAGTTACTGTAGTTTTGGGCCATTCCCTATAAACCCTAGAGATGGCTCTGTTGTTAAATCCCAGTAGATTAGTAGTTTATGAGATACTTAGGCCACTCCCTCTGGCATCAACTACCACGCTACATTCAACGTTGAAAGTTAGCGGGTTGTCTTGACTGTATCTACAAACCTAAATCCACTGAGCTGCTGCCATGTGATTGGCTAAATGGATATTTTCAATGAGTTGTAGGTAAGACGAGTACCTAATAATAAAGTGACTGTGAGTGTTCGGAAACTTTCCCCCTAAAAGATTTATTTTGTTTCCAGCGTTTTTGTTATTTTTAAATGAGCATTTTGTAGTTTTTTGGCCGTTTTCTTTTTAGATCAAACTATGGTATCATCATTTAAACCATTTATGAGCACAATTACAACATGTGAACTGTTTTTCACTTATCAATGGTATATGGACTGATTATTATAGATTGTATTTGAGCGCTCAAAGCACTTTAAACAACATGCTCCTTTCACACACATTCATACAAGCATTTTTGTCTACACTAAATAGTGTCTAACAATTACACGGTGATACTTTGGCATGCAGACCGGAGCAGCCAAAAACCAAACCGCTACATATCTACGATATTTTCCCCCACTCTGACTAAAGATAACAGGTCAGTGCACAAGAAATTGGGCTGAATCCAGTGTAGTGTTTACACGTGTCAATCAATGCACAGTGACATAACTGACTGCCTTTGTTTCCTTCTATTGGTCTATTAAATGGTTTACTCTGTCCCTCTGAAACCAATTAAAATTTCAACAGGTTTTCTGGGCATTTTCACTATGAATGAGTTGTTTATGTCACACTTTTGCTTTGGAATGGCTCCACAGTGTAGTGGCTTACACATTCTCCCAACAAGCAAAAGATACAAAGTTTGTATCTTTCCCGGGAGGAGAAACAAATCCCTTTTGGGTTGTGTCAGCAAGGCGTACAAACTTGTAGAGCAACACACCATGGTGACCCCTTTAGAATAAGGGATTAGTTGAAAGTAGCTTCTTTTTTTTATTATTCTGCTTTAGATTTTAAACCAATTAGAATCAAAAACAAGGCTATATGCAAACATAACTCAGTTAAAAGGGCACTTTTCATTTCAAGCTGTCGTATTAGAAGAAAGATGGCCAAAGTGCAACAATTTCACTGTCTGGCGAGATCTTCTTCAGAGCGTGCCCTGACTGATAAAACTGAAAATTCAATGCCAGTCTTTAAGAGGAAACCTCCCCCCATTTAATTTGTATCTTAACTATTGTTTTTCACTTGTTTGTTCACTGGGATATGTGCTCAAATGTATTATAATGATATTAAGATACGAAGTTGTACGCTGTGTGCGCGCGTACCTCAGCCACTCTTTCAAGCAGCGGCTCTAGCCAGTGGTCATTACATTCACAGTGAGAGTCCAGGAAGGTGAGGACTGGTGCTGTGGCAGCATCTGCACCACGAACTCTTGATCGCATCAAGCCTGAGGGAAGTTAAGAAAAGAAGTGTGATTAAAAACAACAGTCCTGCTGCCAGACTGAACACTTTCATCCCACATGGTGTGCAGCAGCACTGAGATTTCTTTCGGGCATAAAAGTTATGATAAAACCTTCTTCTTCTAAAGTACCTTCTCTGCGGTCATTTCTCAACACGCGTACTTTCTCAATCTTCCCCAGCAGCGCTCCATCCTCAGCTGGAACACACACAGACACACACAGAGCAGTGATGTTTATTTGTATTTTCACACTGATGATGCTAGCTTTGTTTGCGTGTGTTCACACAACTCACGATTATCACTGTAGTCATCAACCAGAATGATCTCTTTGACCAAGTGAGGTGGACTTTTCTTCAGGACACTAAACAGAGTGAGATCATATAAAAATACAGCACATCTGCCTCAGAATTTGAAAGTACACAAAGCTCAGTATACACGCCTACCTGACCACAGTCCGCAGCAGAGCAGAGCGAGCCTCATTGTGGAAGGTGATGACAACGCTCGAGGCCGGCAGGTCTGACTTCCACTGCTTATGTCTGCAACTGCACAAAAACAAGACAAAACCCCCCAAAGACATAAAAATTAGGGAAAAAAAGAGGAAAAAAATGGTTAAAGTATGAATGCTTACATGCGTAGACAAACACGCCCACACACACAAACAATCACGTCACCGAATGTGTGAGCCAAGCTGTGAGCTGGAACTGGTCAGTAAAGCGATTTTGAACACAATAAATACGATGGCGCACATAGTGACACTGACACACACACAGAGGATGCAATGACACACACTCTCATGGAGTAATGCTCTGCTGCAGCTGGGATTGACACTGGGTTTATCATACCGTGAGGCAAAAATCCCATGAGATGACGGGTGTGCCTGTGTATGCGTGTATTTGTGTGTGCGAGCATACCCAAAAAGACAAATCCTGCACCGAATTTAAAGTAAGGAACATGAGTGATAGGGCACTACATGAGAGGAGAGTGACAAGACAGAGAGGAGAAGGAGGAGGAGGAGGGAGCCGATAAGGGCATGAAGAAAACTTTCTATTCCATCTGTCACTTAACTACAGCCACTCTGTCAAACCTGGAGGTAAAAACCCAGAACAGATACGTTTTACAAGATCACGTGTGAAGGTGTGCCATTAGTATTGGCTGTCACACTTGCATAGTTGCTGTATTCGTGTTCATTTCTACTGGGGGAAAAAGCATCAGAGATTCAAGTCATTTTGATCCTGCGTTGAAAACAACTAGGTGCTTTTGCTGAAACAAAAACAACTGGGCTATTTTTTCCTCCTGGAAATGTTTCACAATGATTGCTGCAGCACGCTCACAAATTACAAAGACATCGATACCAGATCAATAGGAGACACATCCTTGCTCTTTTTAGTAGGCTAATGGCTCCAACTGTCTACTTTTGACCAACATATAAGTAAGGCCAGGTGACTACTTTAACTATGGCAGCTGGACTAATCATTTAGACTATTATGGAGTAGGTCAGTAACATGTTTGGAATCATGTTCTTTTTATATAAATAACATCAAAAAAGTCTAATATCAACATATTTCAAGGTATTTCACAAGCAAAGTATGGAGGGGTCTTTAAAATTCTATAAGATTATGAAAAATAAAACCACAGAGAATTTGAAGAACTTATGCACGGTAGATTGCAATTATCTATGGAGCAAAATAAAAGCTTGGTACTTGTCATGCCTATGACTTTCATGGCTTCAGGGAGCACTGGATGAAAACAAGCAATTCTGTAGTGGAAATATCTGCACGGCCTCGGGGACTCGAGCAAGAATCAGCATCACTGAATGCAGTTTCTCTCTGCATTAATAAAAACAACTTTAAACTCTCCCTTTGCAAAGAAATAAAACAGCGATCGGAGGAGCAACTGAGGCGGAGAGGAAAACTGGAGGCTATTTTCTGTACGATATGGAAAAAAGGACTTGTTTTGGAGCAACGTCTGTGGTCATGGAGATTTTCTGGGCTGACTTGCTCGTTTCAGCAAGACCATGTGAGATATATCCAAGATAAAGAAGTCTCTACAAGTCCAGGAAATGGTGTTCCAAATATTTTGGATACTACATATATAAATCCCTTTTTCTGCTGCTGTATTAGAAAAAGTAAAAACTTGCTCTTTAATATTTCAACACTTCAGCGGTGCCTGTTCTCTAGGTGTAAGGCCTTTCTGCTGACATTTTTTCACACAATCCAGCGATTCTGTCTTTATTAACAAAAGGGTAGCACCAGAAGTTAGGACATGCAACCAGACTTATACAACGCTAATGGACTTTTCACTGCCAAAAAGGCCTGTTGAGCTGACTAAAACCTAATATTCTTCTAATAAAAGAATCCAAACGAAGTCATTTTATGATTTTGTTCTGTCCGTTACAACAAGCAGAACAATACGCAGCTTTTACAGCCTGTGGGTTTATTTTAGCACTAAGGCAGACAGTGTCTGCTCCACTGCTACTTCCTGGTTTCCACTGTAACCACAATAGCGAGAGTTCCTGAGAGATCTTATCCAGTCTGGGATCAATTAGTCAAATCAACGAATGTGATAAGACAGCATGTATTCGCAAAAAAAAAAAAACCCTTTCGATCACCCATGAAAAAGCAGAAGTTAAGAGGGATGTCATTGTGTTTCACATATTAGCTGTGTGTGTGTGCAGTGACACAGGTACGTACTGATCATGTCTCGTGTCTGGTACAGCTCTGTCCATTCGGAGTTTGTCACTTTCCACCTGGTTGAACTTGTTTCTGGCGTAGGGGTCTTGACCTGGCCGGACCACCGTGGCTCCAACATACAGATCCTGGTCAAAATCCTGCCAGCGCACCTTACCTGGATGGACACACACACACACAAACACACACACATTAGGCACATCTCCAACCAGAGATATCCACAATAGATGCGCGGCACACACTGCTTCCCAGTCAGTTCTGTGACCACTTGACCAGGCTCATTCATTTGAAGGTGCCATTTCCTTCAAGGTCACCTTTTTGTGCACCAGCAGTGACTTGATTTTGGGTTTGATGTGGCCAAAAAGCAGCATGCAGCACGGGTCAGATTGTTTCTCTCAAATGTTTTCACTTCATGTGCCTCGGGACATTACAGCAGAACTTTGTGTTGGCAGTCTGGCGCAAAAGCCACTGTGACTGTCCACGCTCCTACTTCAGCTGAAAACTACTCTTTGATCTCTCGGTCATAGCCAGAGACACAGCTCTCATCACAAGCAGCACTTCTTCACAGGACATTTGGGTCATTTTGAAAGAGAAGTTGATGTTTGTATTGCCAGGGTGCAGCCTAAAGATAGCAACCCTAAAAGGAGCGCAGGTGTGTGCGTGAGAAGACAACATTCAAAAGGTAAAACTGGGTAAATTTAAATCAGGTTTGCTTTATGATTCTAACCTCAGATCTTTTTGTAAAAGCGCCGTCTATAATATGATGCTATAAACCCACAAAAGTGGTATATTAAATATTCAAATGCACTCCAAAAATATTAAAAACACTGGTGGTAAAAAAAAACTGGTGAACCTAGGTTTTAATACGAAATATTTTCTCATGTGAATTTCTGGGAAATCACGTTAAATAAATACAGCACATCCAAAAATAAAAGCCACCACCAAACGCGATATTAAAACCTTCAACAAAGGCTGCAAATGCGTCTGACGAATGAATGGGATTACAGATCAGTGGGAATATGAAATGTAGGAGGCAGCCTGGCTGATGCAAGAATCCTTCACGACTGACAGCGAGGAAACCTGGCTGCTTCAAGCTGCTGCTTGACGAGGCAGCGACATGGCACTGAGGAAAGCTGACATGAAATTTATGCCGCCTGTATGCGAAAATACGCGGGAGACAACTCAGCCGACAGGGCGAGACTACTTTGGTAAAGCCAGGAAACACAAAAGAACATTTAATATGCACCGCAGACAGTCAGGGGGGGAGCACTTGTTAATTTGTTGCAGTTTAGAAACATGATTTATAAGATCAGTATAAATAAAAATATATTTTTAGTGTTTTGTGTCGTGTCAGTTTGACCAAAATACTGAAACGCTGCAGAATAAACAGAGAAAGCCGTCACGTTTAGTTTCACAGTTTATCTCCGACTATTGAGACGCAGACACACACCAATAATAACGCAACTAATTAGCTGGGTGCAGCTGTCACGCTAACAACTCGAGCATGTGGCAGTGAGAGATTACGCCATCTCCCAGCATAGATGAGCGCGTGCATGGCAGAGAAGTTGAAGAGCGCGTGTGCGTCTGCGCGCGTCTCCTGTGGCAGCACGTGAACGTGGTTCGCGTGTCAATTAACCGAAACTCGCGACTATGATCCGCTAGCGACTGTGTAACGGTGCCTCGGAGACGCGTGCGTCAGAGTGTGTGATGTCCTTGCTGATATCTGTGTTTAGTGGCAGCGAGTAAGCGATGTGGTGAAATGAATGTTAAACCCGGGGTTGATTACTCCGCTTCCTTCAGCGGATTAACGCTCCGCTCTCTCCGGGTTTGCCCCGTTTTTCTGCTGTGTTCGCGATACCGCGAGGCCTCTTCGGCAGGTACATCTATGTGCGCTCAGCCTCTGTCATGCAGTACTGGTCAATGATGCGATCAGCTGGCTGAAATTATAGCTGTTTGAACAGCTTTCACTCTCACTCCGACTCTCGGTCGCTGAACTGTTTCAGCCCACAGCGGCTGACTGGTTGTTGTTTTTGTTTGTTGCCGCATTTTGTAGAAATCCCTCATCACGTTTCTAAGTGATGCTAACTGCCAAAAAGGATTCAAGCTCAGTGTCATTCCCCCAGTCTGTGCTGAACCATGAGCCCTCACTGCCTAGCAGACAGCTCAGAGGGCACCAGTGCTCGATGTGTATTTAATGGATGCGTTTCAATTGAGATGCATCCTGATCCCACTGCCTGAACTCCAGCACCAATCTGTGCCACTGCTCCCGTGCACCAAGTGATGCATTCACGAACCTGCCACTTAGTCACTGTAGTCACTGAGAAGGATGTTGATTAATATGCAAAAGCTAAAAGATTCCCAAGTTATTGAGTTTGGCGTTACTGAAGCTGTGTTACTATTTTAGGCTTAAGTAGGGAAAAGACTGCTTCCCCATGTGCTACAAAACACTCCGTAGATTCATAGGACTGCGACTGCTGAAAATGCGCCCACATAGAGTCATTTATCAAGACTCACTACGGCACTTCATCTATAAATAAATGAATACTCTGACCAACACTGCCACTGTCTGCGTCTTATTCAGCAAATAGCTAGAAAGAAGTAGATAAATGGAAGGGCGTCAAATCTGAATTTTTATAACGCGTTTTCAGCAGATTTAGAAACTAAAATCGCAGCAGAGAATTGGATCGCTCCACTTGCAGGGACTGAGATTAACACACCACAGTTGGCTAAAGCTTGTGACAAGTTAAATCACTATAATAACAGAAATATGCGCTAAACACACAGACTGAAACAACTCTGTTGTTTCACTGGCACAAAGACTAAAACGTTTTGGGAAGAGGTCGAGGTGACGCGTGAGAAAATTTGTTCAGAAAGAAATTCCACTGGACTCTGAGCCGCTTCGACTCCTTTGCATCCACAAGAACATAAATATGAAAAGTAAACAAAGTGGCGTCAGCTAAAGTTCTAGCCAAAAATCTATAAAAGCATCATTTTAAATAACTACACTCAGCAGCCACTTTATTAGGCCCACCTAATCAGCAAATCACATGGCTGCAGTTCAATGAATTTAGGCATGTTGACATGGTCAAGGTGATTGGGGAAATAATTATTTGATCCCCTGCTGAATTTGTAAGTTTGCTCACAAAGAATTGAACCCCCACCCCGCATCACATATCTGGCTAATCACACAAACAGGTGTCACCTTCTAACTGAACTTCTTACTGATAACGTTGTAGCCTGTTCCAGCCTCATTCACGTCTACAGTCCTGTCCCTCGACATCATCTGACAGCTCTTTAGTCTCACACATGGTGGTGGAGAAGTTGGACTGAAAGAAACTGATTTTGTAGACAGGTGTACTAGTTTAAATACTTTAACTTGTGTAATGCGTTTTTTTCCCTGGTGTTTTGTTTTTTAAATCTGTTTCAATTTAAAAAAAAAAAAAATAGAGATTGTTCATTTCCCTGGAAGTGAGCAAACTTACAAATTCAGCAGGGGATGAAATAATTATATACCCCACTGTGAGTCTGAATGTGGGATGGTTGTTGGTGGCAGACTTGAATACAGCAATATTTCCCAGCACTTTGGCGAATCGAAGCTATGAGGAATTAAGGGAGTTCTGAAGGCAAAGAGGGATCAGCCTGGTACTGACGAAGTAGCCGGCGAGCGCAAATAAATGTTTAGTACCAGACAAGACAAATGATGCCAAACGTTCACTAGAAAGAATAACACATACTGAGAGCTTTGAGGAGTTTTTTCTTCACTTTGTAAAGGATTCGGATCTGGAAGAGGGCCAGTGCAGGCTTGTTTTGACTTCTCTGAAAAAAAATTTTTCTTCTTGTTTCAGAGGATTTGGATGTGTTGAATGGAAGGAGCATGCTGTTGCTCCCTCCCCATCTTAGTCACTTTTTCCCCTTGTTTGAATAAAACATATTTTTGGCATGCTCAAACGGTAAAACGATAACAAAACGCTTAAAAACAACCATGAAAAATAACAAGGCGTCAGTGCAACAATGAAACATTTCTAACATACTCAGAGTGACACCGTTTAGTACATTTTATGCTTTAATTTTTTTTAAAAATGAAGATCTGAGGTATCGCCTCACCTTTTTACTTTATAATGACTGTCTGAGTAGGATTAGATAGAAAACAAAACATAACCAGCACCCATCTTTGACGAACCCAAAGACTTACTTATTTACTCTGTTTTTATTAGTAAATCTTTTACTCTTCCACGTATCTCTTAGGCTCCATCTCCTTGTTCTCTTGCTTTCTCAACACTTTCCTTCTGTTTTCTTTCTGCTCTTCTTAAGTGTCCTTGTGTGCTCTGGGTGATGTTGTGATACGCTGTCATTGCTGAGTGTAATGTCACCCTGAAATTGAAATGCCCTCACTTCAACATTCAAATTGGATAGCATTGCTGGATCAGATAAGAGAGTGTGTGTTCAGCGTTCGCAGGTCACGGGCCTGTGAAGGAGGGGCGTTGGCTGCTTCTGCTGCTTTGAGTCAGCCTGACGATGGGTGCTGAATGAGAAATCAGATTCTCCTCCTGCTCTCCTCTTGGCTGCTGGACACTGAAACAATGTCTCTCAGAGTTTGGGTGGAGACGCATAGTTGGTTTGTGGGAAGATCGAAATTGGCTGCCTGGATTATTTTGGACAGGCAATCGGCTCCAACCTGTTTTTAAGTCTGAACCATACAGATGTGCGTATTTCATTGGGTTCCCTCGCTGTGGTTATTCAAACACGATAAGGTTAAGGATGTTCATGTTCTACTGGTAATAAAACAAACTATGCTGCTGTGTTACCGCGTTTTGAAAAAGGAAATGGTTTCGGTTGTGGGAACATGATGCGGAATACTCTCTGGATACATGAATGTGGTTTACAGTGACTGCAGTGCACATGCTCTGCAGCTGGTATGCATTTGTGTCGTGCCTTTTCCTAGAGTTCAGTCACAACTGCAAGCAATGAGAAAGCGAACTCCACAGATCCTGAAGGATCAAGAATAAAAGATAAATTTGACACACGTGTGCCTCAGACATGAATCGTTCCTGCCAGTTAAAGGGAACTACTACACTACTTTTACAGGACAGCAGGTCTCAGGAGCACTACTGCAAATGTACCACTACGTTAGCTACAAGTTTAAGAAGTTAAGAAGAAGACAGCTTACCAGAGCTCTGAAGCTCCATTCCCATGTCTGCACAGGACAAATTAAGCGTTATTAGGACAACACAACCAATGGCTGTCAAGATGCATTGTGAGCAATAAACTGTATATAAAAGCTGCCAAGCCTGACAAGTAAATGTGATTTTTTTTCTAACAATGTGTGCTTGCAAAGATAAGAAGAAGTCTACTTCTTGCATGATTTATTACCCTTGCAAACACTTTATTAACAAGTATGTCATCTCAATTGCTCATATCAAACCTTAATTATGTATGATTTTTTTTTAATTATGGCCTCATTTTAAGTAAATACAGACAGTAAGCCACAGCTTGCTTTTGGCTCCACTAATTTACAAGTCACTACTGTATAAGAGTGAGCATCCACAGTTTTTACAGTCAGATCCACTCCTCCTCCTGTGATGTGTGGTTTAAAAAACAAAAACAACAATATACTGAAAGCAGGACTCCACCCCCCAATAGCTGAGGCCACAGTGGCTACATCCAAAACTGATATATGGTGTGTGGTTTTAACAAGGAGAAACAGCATCTGGAATAAAAACAGATGTTTCTCAGCCTGTTGCATTGACTCTATTGAAGTTGTAGCACGTCAGAGGTTTGCTCTCTGAATGTCCCCGTTGTGATATATGATTTGTGGGGACGTTTCCTACCTGGTGGCAGTGTCTCCGGGCCGTGGGCTTTGTCGTCAGAGTTGTGACCTTTGGTCCTACCGGACAAGTCCCTGGACACCCAGTCATCCTGAAAACATTAAGAAAGGCGGTTAGTCACAGTTCTCACACTGTGAGCTTGGGTACAAACAGCAAACAAACCTGAAGCAAGGCAAACAGAAGTGAGTTGAATGTATGAACATCTGATTTGTTTGTATTTGGAAGCGCTGTGAAGATTACAGAGAGAAATGTGCAAGGAAAGACAAAATAGGACCTCACAATGCAACGTAACATGCAGAATGGAAAGAGCTCATTTTAGCTTCACTAGTTCAAGTCTTGGACACCGCTAGAGTAGCTCTGCGTGAGTCCCAGCTCGTAAATGATCCCCATTTATCTTCTACTGGACCTTGATGGACATTTTAGCTCTTCTATCTTTATAAGCCAACTTTGATCTGATTGGCTTTCCTTCAGAAAAAGGTTTAAACAGCAGGTGGGTGGCTGTGTGAGCAGAGCTGTACGCATGAGAGCACATTAAGGATATTCCCTCCCTTTGACATCAAACAGAGCAGTTTGAAACCGAGCGTTTAGACTTTTCTGGAGCCTGAGAAGCACCTCCAGTTTGAGCGCTCCTTTTTTCAGTGAAACCTCATGAAATCAAATTCACTATTTAGATAACAGGATGTCCAGCAAACATGGCTCTACTGGTCAAAGATGTTGAACGGTCAAAGCATTTAAAAATCAATAAATTATCCAGTCAATGTGTGCTTTAGAGCGGTTTCATCATCAGTTAAAATACGCACACTCCCGTGATCATCTGCAGCCTGTCAGTTTCTCTCCGTTAGCCATTTAAAATCAATGCTGGCAGCGATTCAGAGGTCGACTCGTTCGTTATTTCACTCACTAATTTGGCTGTTCCTTTCCTCCTCTTCTGTTCATGATTCCATAATTTCACTCATTCATTTTATCCCTGTAAAGTCATCTTCTGAGCCCTTCTGAGAAACACCGTCATTGTCTTGCCCACACCATTTGTACAAATGGACAGATGACCGAGCCACCCATCCATCCTCTTGTCCACATAAGTTACAATTAAAACCCACCGGATCGATACGCTGGCAGGGAACACAATTAGCAGCATTCACTCTGGGTCCAGGCTGCTGCCCTTGACTTCAGAAATACTATTATTCAGCTTTCTTATTTGCTCTGTAGCCCGCATTTCACCTTCAGCCTCTCCAAAATGTGTTATTGATCCGTTTTCTTTATGCCTTCAGGACAGGCAATAACGACGTGATGTCACAAACCACCGCAGACCGTACTCAGCTGTTAATTTCTACCTCTGACAGAAGGGCTAATAGGGATTTTCACAGCTTTTTTATGCATTAATATTAGCAAAAACAACTGCTGTTGTTTTCTGTGACTGTTGCCCATCATTTAACTGTATGCCAAATTTTTAAATCATCTGCTGTGGACAGAGTCTCAGTCTGTTCTGAAACCACAACCTTTTCTCAGTGACTGCAATAAGATCAGACCGTCCACTACCTGCAACAACTATATATAAAAAAATCCTACATAAAATCAATTTCTATAAGTGCTCAGGACAGATGAGTGTGCGCACAGTTAGAGAGTAATGTTCGGCGTAGGATAAAGACTAAAGCTGGCAGTGTACTTCCTGTGCAAACACAGTCTGACAGGTTCTGAGGGGTAAGAATAAAACATGGGGGCTGATTTTCTGGTAAAATAAAGCAACAAATTGGTGCAGGACTTCTTCCTGGTGAAGCAGTTTTCTGAAAAGGAAACAACTTGCAGACATTTTACTATCAACTCTTCAAATGCTGGCTGCATTATGAGCAAATAATAAGCCACCTTTCATTATAATAAGTGATTGAGAAGAGATCAAATTAAGATTATACTTGTTATAAAGGAACACACCCCCTTCTTGAATTCTCATTAGTTTTGATGATCTGTATTCTTTGCAGTCGCTGATCATACTCGTGTTTGCACAAGTCTTTCAAGTACGACCAAACACTTCAACGTGATTATAAGACAATTATTCATATCAGCCAAGGTGTCTCTTTGTCTCTGTCAAGACAAATTTGATGGCATCTATCACATCTTCACTCTCTCCCAGCACGCCCACCCCCACCAGGAAACTGTCATCTGTTTCTTTATACGTCTGGATGCCTCCCAGTCCACCGCGCAGACCCACTACAGAAGCAGTTACATGCTGAAACGCTGCTGTGAAAAGACCTCCATCTAAAGCATCTGTGCTTATGTGCAGCAGCATCATGCACAACATCAAATGTGCAAAGCAGACCTAGGCCAGTGCACAAAGACACTGGATAACCAGGGGATCTAACCTAACACAGCTGATATAAACCTTACCAGAGGACTTTATATATCATGAAATGAAAAAAAGAAAAGAAAAAAAAACTTCTAAATGAAGTCCTCATTTTTAATAAACACTTCTCCTAGCCCTTACAATTTGTGGAGGTAAAGTGACCTACACCCCGTAGATTCTACTGATATTTAATCGCATCAGTAAAGCAGAAGGCTATTGTACAGTACACCATTAAACACTATGTCGTGCACTAGAGACATTTTTACACGTTTCTTTGCTACAGCAGGAAAAGTACAGGTGCTGATAATACTGAGTCTGTTAGAGTGATTAGTTCCAATTTTTTTCTTCATTAGTTTCCATTTTTAATTCATCTCAAGATTTTTGTTTCAGTTCAATTTAACTCCATTCGCTTGCTTCAGTTTAGCTTTTAGTATCTGGAAATGTAGGTTTAGGTTTTATGAGTTTCTATGTTAGTCTTTTATTACTATACTGTGGGGTAGCGGGGTATTACAAAAGATCTTAGTCACATACAACATATACACCAAAGCCTCCGATTGGCTGCTGTGCTGACAAACCTGAGGAAAGTGAAAAAGACTAAAACTGAGGACATCTATTTTCTTCTGCTTATCCAACTCTGGGTCATAGGGGGCGGAGTCTATCACAGCTGTCATGAGGTGAACACCCTGGACAGGGCTTACAGAGAGAGAGAGAGACAACCATTCAATTTAATGATTTAGAAGTGCCAGTTAACCTAAAATGCATGTTTTTTGACCTAAAGAGGGGAAGAGGGTACCGAGATTGAACCCACACAGGGACAGACTCCACAACGAGGCCAACTGTTTTTAGTTACATCTCTTCTTTTTTCAGCGATTCACTGTGGAAATGTCTTTACACTGACACAACAGGAAGTTTCGCCGGTCTGGCCCACTTACGGTCGAGGTGGGCTGTATGTGGCCTACGATGTAAAAGGAGTCCAACATCCCTGATCTATCAGGAGTGTAGCTTGGCTTATTTGAATAATGAAGGCGGTTCCTTGTTCCACACGGATATCTTCTCGCTCCAAATCTGTGACCTTGCAACCTCTTTAGCCATCTCACAACATACCCAGCAGGTCTGAACAAACTCAATCTCGCTCTCTCTTTCTTTGTCCCCAAAAGGATTCGTTTGTTTGTTTGTTTGTTTTTTTAAACAAAGAAGACAGTTGGAGATGGAGGTGAGCAAAAAGGCAAGAAATACTCTTAAAATAATAGCTGGAAGATGAAAGAGTCAACCAACCAGAGAAAAGGTAATTGGAGATAAAGTTGGGGGAAAATAAATCCCTGGTACATTTGAGCTACGTGCTTCCCGTGTAAACTTCTCTCTGACTTATGGGAAGTACTCTCCATCACAGATCACACCAAGATAGAAAACGTTAGGAGATAATGAGAACAATGCAGTGCTGTAAGGAGCCAGGCATGTGATTTATCAACAAATGGTTACTATAAATATGACAAATCGCTGATTGAGACATGATTTAAACAAGTAAGTAGGGAGCAGATGTTGACGAGCTATTTTTATAGCTCACATCATATGAACGGCTTGAAAACCTCTTAGTGAAAGTGGCCTCAGCCCCTCTTTGGCTCTCCTCAAAGCACAAAAAAATGACTGATTAGAATGATGTCCACTTAAAGAGAAATAAAATCAACCTCAGTGATGCACTGTGGGCTTTTGGAAACAGAGAAAGGCACGATGTTGAGCAACTGTTAACCCCTTGATGTCGGGTTCATGTGGTTTGTTCTGACTGTTAATTGAATCTCAATGATTTTTCCACAGCATCAAACTAAGCTGCAACCTCTGGGGCTAAAAAATAAAGCCAACACAAAGTGCTAAGAACTCCAGTTCCTCTAATAGCTTCACGAGGCAGGCTCCAAAAGCTAATTTCCCCTTCATAACAACTGTACTGGGGTGATTTTCTTTTCTGTCCCAACAACACATTTGGATTTTGTTAAGGCTCACTACAATGTTTAAAACTGACGCCTCACAGCATGAAGACTCCTCATATGAACCCTGGCTAGAACCATCCTGTACCTTCACTGGATTGCTTTCACAATCCATTCAAGCGAGTCTGACAAACTGTGCTGGCTAGACGACTGGGTCAGAGCATCTCCAAAACTGCGGCTCTTGTGGAGTATTCCTGGTCTTTATGGTTAGTATCTAACAAAAGTGTTCCAAGGAAGGTGAACAGCAGTGAACCTGGTCATGAGCAGCCAAGGCTCATTGATGCACGTGATTGATGCACAAGGCTGACCCACGTAGTCCGATCCAACAGATGAGCTACTGTAGCTTAAACAGCCAAACAGGTTAATGCATATTCTGATTGAAAGTGTCAGAATAAACCGTGCATCATAGTTTGTTGCATGTGGGACTGCAAAGCTGCAGGCCAGTCAGGGTGCCCCATGAAGGTGCCAATAAGGGCCATGTGAACATCAGAACTGGACAACAGAGTGATGGAAAAAGACAGCCTGATGAATCACGTTTTCTTTTAGATCACGTGGATGACCAGCTGCGTTGTTTATCTGGGGAGAAGCTGGCATCCGGATGCACTATGAGTAGAAGTCAAGCAGGCGGAGGCACTGTAATGTTTTGGGCAGTGTCCTGCCATCCATGTGGATATTAGTTTGACATGTACCACCTAAGCACTGTTGCGATGCATGCACATCCTTTGATAGAAAGAATACTCCCTCATGGCTGTGGCCTCTTTCAGCAGGATAATGTGA